CCCTCCCCAGGTCAGAAGCACGTGCGTGTCACCAGCCTGCTCATCTGCCAGGGCTCGCTCTGGGTGGGCACCGACCAGGGCATCATCGTGTTGCTGCCCGTGCCCCGCCTGGAGGGGATCCCCAAAATCACCGGTGAGCCCCCGCCCCCCTTCCCCGCCCGGGAATGCCCCATTTCCAAGCTGCTTTGCAGCCACATCCCCGTGTTTTCCCGCAGGGAAGGGCATGGTGTCCCTCAACGGCCACGCGGGCCCCGTGGAGTTCCTGGCCGTGGCTCTGAGCACTTTGGCCCCCGACGTCCTCAAGGGCGACCGGGAGGAGGAGGAGGAGGCGGGGGAGGAGGAGAAAGCCCCGGAGCTGGACGGGCCCCCCCCTCGGGAGCTGAGGAAGAAAGGGATTCTGCTGCAGTACCGCCTGCGCTCCACCTCCCACCTGCCGGGCCAGCTGCTGTCCGTGCGGGACGCGCCGCCCGGAGCGCCCGCGCACACCGAGGAGGACGGCTCCATCTACGAGATGGCCGACGATCCCGACGTGTGGGTGAGGAGCCGGCCCTGCGCCCGGGACACGCCCAGGAAGGAGATCTCCTCGGTGGCCATCGTGTCCGGGGGCCGCGGCTACCGCAACTTCGGCGGGGACGGCCCGCGCCGGGGGGACAGCGACAGCGCCCTGCTCATCTGGCAGGTCCCGCTGATGCTCTAGCGGTCCCGGGATTCCTCACCCACCGCTGCTGCTGCAGCGTTCCCGGGATTTCTCACTCACCCACTGAATGCTGCAGCATTCCCGGGATTGCAGCCCTCCCTGCTCAGCTGGCAGATCCCTCTGATGCTGCAGCGTTCCCGGGATTTCTCACTCACCTACTGATGCTGCAGCATTCCCGGGATTTCTCACTCACCCACTGATGCTGCAGTGTTCCCGGGATTCCCTCTCACCCTGCTCCCCTGGCAGATCCCGCTGATGCTGCGGCATTCCCGAGATTCCCGACCAACCCTGCTCATCTGGCAGATCTGGGGTGCCCCCCCATCCATCTCATCTGGCAGATCCCACCGATGCTGCAGCATTCCCAGGATCCTCTCCCCACCCTGCTCCTCTGGCAGATCCCGAGATTCTCCCCCACAGCTGCTCCTCTGGCAGCTCCAGTTGCTGCTGCAGCATTCCCGGGATTCCCCACCATCCCGGCACCTACCTCAAGCCACCCAAGAGCTGCCGGGGGTGGCCCTGCCCTGGGTGCATCACCTGTTATTTTTATAAGGAGGAAAAAAAACCTGAAGAAACGGGAGTTTCTTCCCTCAAAAACCAGCTGTTTGCATGGAAAACGGGAATTGTGAGCGGCGCCCTCCCTGCGGGCTGTGGGGGGGCCACTCCGGGCCCGAGGTGTCCGTGTGTCTGCGTGTGAATATCTCTCTATAAATTTATATATATATATATATAAATATGTTGTATATTATGAGCTGTAAAAAGCAGGAGTCTGTATATATTGGGACACTGGGAGCGGCAGGAATGGGGGTGGGAGCTCCCAAGCGGGTGTTTGGCCTGGAATAACCACTTCTCTCTGACTGTGACTTGAGGATCTTTGGTACGAAACCCCCTGGTTTTGGGAGCTGAGGGCGCTTTGGCTTTCAAGGGAAGGACGTGGGGGGAGTGTGGAAATAAAGCCCATAGGAACTGGCGTGGTCTGGTGCAGTTTTGTAACTCGGGTGCAAATGTTCTTTCCCGGGGTTTGGTGAGGACATCCCAAGGGGTTCCACTGCCCTGGAGCTGGTCAAGGCCAGGTTGGATGGGGCTTGGAGCAACCTGGGCTGGTGGAAGGTGTCCCTGCCTGTGGCAGGGGGTGGGATGGGATGAGCTTTGAGGTCCCTCCCAGCCCAAACCGTGGGATTCTGTGATTCTGATCTCCACCCCCTTGGAGCTGCACATCCTCAGAAATCAGCAGGAAGCTCCAAACCCCCCGTTCCCCCCCTCAGGAACTGTGTGGGATGAAGGGAATATCCCCAGCAGGACATGCCCCATCCCCTGTGCTCGTGGCACAGCTCCATCCTCGGAGGAATCCAAGGCCAGCGAGGTGGAAACTTATCCCAGGACTAAATCAATTTCCAACCCGACCCTTTAACTGCCTCCAATTTGATTTTCATTTGTAGCATCACAATTATCAGATTGAAATTCCTGACCGCTCAGCCTTGAGCTGGACCAGCGGCTCCCGCTCCGGAGAGTTTCCTGCCCTCCCTGAGGAGGTTTTCTTCCTGTGGAACAAGCTCAGAGGGTGGGAATTCTCCAGCCCAGCCCTGGTGAGGGTAGGAAGGAGCTCCTGGATTTTCCCCACTTGTTTTCCCTGTTTTCCTCGGCAGTTTTGGGGTGGGCACGTGGGACAGCGGGTGGATTTCCAGGGCTCTCACCCCGTGGGAGTGGCAGGGACTTCCCGTGCTTTGGAATTACAAAGATTAAACACACATCTGTGTTTATAGCAGAAAAATCTGGGAACTCTGATGCAGGAGTTTAATGAGTTAAAGGAACACCAGAAACTCGATTTTAGGGACTCCAGATATCCCCCTGGGCTACAGTTCCAAGGAAAACATCCCAAACCCAGGATGGTGCTCTCGGAGCTGCAGATGTTTTCCCGCTGGGAATGGCACCAGGAGGCTGCTCCACCACCTTGGGTTTTATTTCCTCATCCCAAGTGAAGGTCCTTTAGGTAATCCCAGAATCACTGGGGGTGGAAAACACTTCCAAGACAATCAAGTCCAAGCTGTGGCTGCTCCTTCCCTTGTCAGCAGACCATGTTATATATGTATGTAGATATCTACATAATTTATATCCAGCCATAAATATACGTGTAATGTATATAATATATATGTATAATATACACACATATACACCCATATATATATTATAGAGAGAGAGAAGGCAGGGAAGGAGAATATTATTCCCCTGGGATGCACTGAGGCTCTTTCTGAAGCTGGTGGGTTATTAAATCCTGGGGAAGCAGCAGCCAGAGGGTGGAAATTATTCCATCAAACCCAACCCGTGGCTGCTGGATGGGATGGGATGGGAACAACCTTGGCTTCCAAGGAAACCCTTTACAAACCATTCCTGAGCCACAGATGTTTTCCCTGGAGTCCCCTGGGCTCAGTTTCCCTCCCTGCCCAGTGGGTGCCACCCAGTTAAAGATGGTATTTCCCACTTTGAGGCACTGGAATAATTTAGGGATTTAATCCATCCTTGCTTTTCAAATCTCTTCTATTTCTCTTTATTTTATTAATTTTCTACTTTCTTTCACACTCCCTTCCCAGGTTCCAGGGCACGAGAGGCTCCACTTTCCCCCCATCCCTTTGTTTTTGGGGGTACAAACCCACCTCTTAATTTTCAAGCCTCTCTTTGCACCAATTAAACCTTAATTAGAGAAGAAATTCATCCTGGGGCTGGTTTTTATCCCTCCCTCTCCCCTGTCCTCAGGGCAAGGAGCCTGGAGCCAGCACACAATTGATATTTTAGATGTTTATATAATTCATACTTACATTTGATATCTATTTCTGGAGATGTAATTATCCACTGTTATATCTTCTCATGGAAAATCCACCGTTTGGGATCTATTCCTCCAGAATTCCCCAAATTTAATGGAAATCCTGCAGGAACCAGCCCTAAAGTGCTCCTTGAATGGGGATCTGTGGCCACCCCAGTGCTGAGGACATCCTCACACGGGTGCTCCCCATGGAAAAATGGGAATTTGGGTGGCTTGCACGGGAATCCCCTGTTCTTTCCCACAAAAAAAAAAAAAAAAAAAAAAAAAAAAGTGGGATTGAGGATTGTTTCCATGGGTAAAGCAGCACTAGGAGGGTTTATGCAGCACCACCTCCTCCTAAATATATATATATATATATATATAAATATATATGTTCTCTGGCCATCAGGCACAAAGGAATTGTCATTCCCAGGTGGAAAAGCTCAGAAAGATGAGTTTAGATAGGGAAAAAAAAAAAAATCCCTTTTTTTCTTATTTTTCCTGGAATAGCAGCTGCTCTGGATGGGATAAGTGGCATTTTCTCCCCTCTGCCTTGTCCTCAAATCCCATAAAAACAGGTCAGGAAAGTTGCAGGATCCCTGATTTCCACCCTGGCCCAGCTCCTTTGGGGGGTCACAGCCCCATAACTCAAACTGCAGTGATGATCCCAATAAAATTCCCATCTGGGGAGGAATTTTCCAGGAATTACTGCCAGCAATAAAACCCTGGCGAGGGGATGATGGGTCCGAGGGGGGAGTGGCTCCATCACCAGCGAAAGTGGCTTTTAAATCAGGTTCTGACCTCCCCTCCCAGCCTGACGAAGTATTTGGGGGCCGCTTGGAAGGGGAATCCCCCAAATCCTGGGGAAAAGGGGAGCGCAGGGAATAATCCTGATGCTGTTGGAGGCTTAAGGGAGGGTTTTCCCTGCCCGTGGCATCTCCACGTTAATTCCCAGTTTTCTCTCAGAGGGAATTGGGTGGCAGCTCAGCTGGGAATGCTGGAATTCCCTGGAATGCTGTTTATTCTTTGGGATTTAGCAGCGACAGGGAGCAATTTCTGCCTCTGCACCTTGATTTTCTCACCTCTGCAGGTGCTGAAGGGCAAAGACGCTGAAACGAGGCTGGGGGGAGGATTTGGATTGGGAAAAGAGGGGACCAAGAGGGGTGGGAATTTGGGGGTTCCCACCCTGAATTTAGGAGGCATTTTGGCAGCTCGGGAGTTTGCAAAAGCCTGGGAACACGCCCAGTTTGGGGTTGGTGACTGGGTTAACTGGAGCGGGGCTCAGTCCCTGCTCGGTGAGCTCCAGCTGCCTCTAAACTGGTTTTATCCTCCTTGAGCCGGGCTTTGCTTCTCCAAAAGAGCCACATCCTGCCCCAAATGCCCCTTTCCCGGGGCTGCAAAACCTGCATTTCTTTGCTGGAGATGGAAAAGCAGTTGGGGCTCAACCCAGGCTGGAATTTGGGGGGGCTTTAACCCTAAAGGGGACAGGAAGGAGGGGGGGAAGAAGAGGGATAATAAATACTGGGAAAGTTTGGCAAACTTCAATCCACCTTCCCTGCTGAGCTACCAGCCCCCTCCGAAGGGATCTGTTTGAATTTTAAGGTGTTTGTGACACCCAGCTCTTCTCTTTGCCCTCCCCGGGACATCTCCAAAGACTGTTCAAGGCAAGATTTCTCATTTTTAATTATCTCATGGGCAGCGGGGATTTATCCCCCTTCCCAGCGTGGAGGTAAATAACTACCCCCTGGCAAACCGCCAGGAGGAATTTGGGGGTGGAAGGAGAAACTCTGGGGTACTGGGAGCAATTTGGGAGCGGAAGGAGCAAAAGCAGAGCCTGGTTTTGAGAGGCAAATCCCTTTTTCTCAAGCGCCAGCTCTGCCGAGACTGCAGAGGGGTGACCTGGAGCTTTGCTCGGCACCTCAGGAGCTCCCTCCAGCTTTTTTTCCCGGCTGTGCGGGTTAAGCCAAGGCCAGGAACAGCTGGAGCCGGGATTGCGATCTCCTCGTACCCACAAGCACCGCAGCAGCCTCGGGCATCGCCCGGAGCCAGCGCAGCTGAGTTTCAGACACAACCCCCCCCTCCGCGCTCCCTTTGTCTCCTGTTTCTAAAGGAAGCAGGAGCTGATGACCCACCAGGCTGCGGCTTTCGGGATCAAAGCTCAGCTCGGCGGCTCCGGCACGGAGGGAAGCGCTGATGAAACCCTCCAGAAATC